ATTGTTTTTAAAATCCTATTGGTGGTGTCATAAGATATTTTATTCACATGTGTGGATGTCCCATATTATCTTTACGTTCATGCCCTTGTATTTTATTGACTCTCACAAATTATTCAAAAACCATGGGCATAAGTGTAAACATGAATTTGGACTTAATGGGAAATAAAACATGGAGCTAAGGGCTTCAAGGTAAAATAATTATAAACCTAGGGTTTAAGGAGTGAAAGTTGTCAAAAGCTCATCCATTGATCTTGGTGATAAGATATGGATGAGTGGCTTCGATAAAAGCCTCTCATGTGCCATTGATCTAAGGCATCAAGGATCAAGATCAAATTCATCTTTATGATCTAAGTATAAAAGTAACTTATGGGATCAATTATAACCCAAACTTGAGTATTCACTTCAAAGAGAGAGAGCCCTTGACAAAAATATGGTTACCCATGAGACTATCTTCTTCCTTGAGTTTTCATTTGAAACCTTTCTTCCATGGAGTAGTCCATTATTTATGTGATCAAGCCCATTATTGATTTTTCTTCTCATATTTTTAATTCCTACCTCATTTTCATTATCAAAGCTTGTTATAATTGTTAATTTACAGTAGCTTTCTTCATTTTCGGTCATGAAAACTTGATATTTGAATAGTCCCAAAGCAATAGTGTAATCCATACACATAGTATATGTAGACTAGCTTGCTTACTCCATGATCTTGAGTAGTTTCAACTTGATTTGTTGATCTTATTTTTCTGAAATTTTTATTGAAATATACAACTAATGAGAGGTTTAAATCATCATATTTGAGCATAATAAATAGTCTATTGAGTTCCCTTTTTAATATTGAAAAATTCGTGTAGTCCCGTATGAACCACATGGTGTAATTGCACACTAACTTCCTTATTTTTTGTAGTATCTCTCTCAAACTTTGAAGGGTTATTTTGATACATGTCTCTCTCATGATTTGATCCCTATTAAGTGAAATTAATATGATCATTTACTTGCCATTAGATTGATCTCCTTGAGTTATTATTATCATCACCCGTGCCTTAAACAATGGGACAAAATTAAGTCCTCAAAAGGCCCTTTCGTGGCCCAGGCACAAGGGGTTTGAACCATGGTTTCTCCGTGTATGTTTTCATATTAATTTGATGTATTTACAGTTATTAAATGGATTCATGATTGGTTAAATTGAGTATGTTGTGTGAATATTGAGATTGTTTTTTAATCTTATGGTATGAGCTTCAATGTTATGCATTATTGTTTATTCGAATTGAAATCTCATTAAATTATTATGATCAAGTGTATGATGTGTATGAGATATTATGATATATGATGAGGATGAAGAATGAAAATGAAATTATCATACAATTTTGACATAATGAGGAATTGCAAGTGCAAGTCATGCAATATGTTGTAAAGACTTACAATGTGAATATTTGAATATTGTATTAAGTTTAATTGAATTTTTTAGTAAGGGATTTGTAAGAAACCTATTAAGGTTGAATTTTATTATTCAAATGTATATGTTCGTAGGCCGTAATATATATATTATGGTTATTGAGATATTCATGCATTTAAACCGTTGAGTTTTTATACAATAGAAATTTTTTAAAAGATTGCATTTATAGCCCATTGGTCTTATACCACCAATAGAAACTTTGATACTTGAATACACACATTCGTTTTTCTGGGTATATCTTTGTTTCCTCTTGTGCTCGTGGGCTTATAGCGGAGACTTTGTTACTTGAATACTCACATTAGTTACTACTTCTTATTGATTTCCTTCGTAGTTTTTATTTCTCTTTTTAAAACACGGTTGTTTTTACCTGATGTTAATCACTAGTAATCTTAAACTGTATCAGGTGGTATCAGAGTATCACTCGATTCTTTTGGATTGTGGTGTTCGGCATCGGGGGACCTCCTAGATATAGAGATCGAAAATTTGAGAAGCCAAATAGAGGAGTTGACCCAGCTCTTAGCGCAAAATCCAGCTCTAACAAATTAAGATGACGGTAGTGAATCGGATGATGTTTTTGAGAACATATTCCATGCGCACACTCTGCATCAAGAGCCTTATGGTTAGAACATGAGAGTGATTTCTTTAAATTTGATGAAAATTTTGTTGAAGGTGAAGAGCAAGTAGGTTGGGAAATTCAATTGGAATCATATTCATTGAATGATATATTTTTTATAAAGGTCCTCTATTTTTTATGAAGGTCCCTAAAAGAGTCCTATTTTTTATGAAGGTCCCTAAAAAAAATCCCTATTTTTTATGAAGGTCCTCTATTTGTTAAAGAACAAGATGAAGCAGAGAAATAGGCCTTGAGGCAGAAAGAACACGTACCTTTCTCATCAATGGAGAGATGGATAAACAAGATATCCTGGAGGAAATTGAGCCTTTTTGGAAATATTGATGAAGATATCAATGGAGAGATGGATAAACAAGATATCGCAGAGGAGATAGAGCCTTTTGAAAATATTGATGAAGAGAAAACGGAAGCCCTCAAATGAGAATTGATAACTGAAGTTGGTTCAGTTTTCAAAAGTGCTCCTATCGAAGATGCTCCCTTAGTATGTTGTAGGGCATAAATAATTCATATGACCCATTACTCTAGGGTTTCTCAGTTTCAGTGCACAATCGTTGTGTTTTGATCCGTGCAGTAATTCATAGGTCACAGGATCGTGTTTTCAACATTTATATCAAACAGGATCGTGTTTTCAACATTTATATCAAATAATGCTGCGAGACTAATACAAATTTCATCTCACCACATTTCAAAACTCGAAGTCGAGATTTCTCCAACCAAAGGAGAAGCATATCAAGATGCATATCAAGATCAAATTGATTCAGCATTTTTATTCTTCTCGAATTTTTGTGGACTTAATTGTTTTTGTTATTTTTACGAGTCTGTATTTTATTTTTATTTTATTAGGGTTAATTTTTATAAGTAAGATTAATATGATCTTTTTTGGTTCGGTTGATTAAGTTGTTTTTATGAGTGTGTTTTTTATTTTTATTTTATTAGGGTTAATTTTTAGAAGTAAGATTAGTATGATTTTTTTTTATTCAATTGATAAAGTCTTCTTTTTTTTTTTAAGAAGTACGTGTTTTTTTAGGAGAAGAATGAGTTTATTTAATTTCAATAGAGTCTGGTTTAGTACGTTTATCTATTAAGAAGATGAGTACGTCCTTAAGTGATAAATATGACTATCTATTAAAAGATGAGTACGCACATCGAAACTCTTTGTAAAAGGGTTTGGTGGCAAGCAAATCTGTATTGTTCTAGCAATAAAGGGGACGCACGTGAATTGTAAAGGGCGATTAAAAAAAAGTGATATTTGCAAGCACGTGAATGGTTAAGGACGATTAAAAAAAGTGATATTTGCAAATCATGAGAAGGAGAGAGAGGCCTTTTCTGGGTATTTTATTTACTCTAATAATCGTGGTGAGTCCGCAGTAGAGGACTTCACATTTTTATTTTTATTTTATTAGCGATTTTTTTTTTTTTCTCTCTCTAAAACATGGTTGTTTGTTTTTCTCGGGTGTTAATCGCTATGTAATTTTAATTTCCTTCAAAAAGATAAACTTATGGGAAAGTATAAAATGAGACCATTTATCTTTTATACAAGGTGGTCACATTAATCTTAACCATTGAATGTAAAGTTGGGTTGTTGCAATTATTTCATTAATCAAGCTCAAACTTCAAAATAAATTTTTTCAAACTTTGTGACACATCCAGATTATTAAATTTCACATCAAATGATTATAAAAAATTGTGATCACTTTGTATAAAAAGTAAATAGTCTCATTACATACACTCCCTAAACTTATATGTGAAACTACCTATAAGTTTATCTCTGATAACTTAATAATAGACATTGTCAAACTTCATTATCAGGATTAATTTAATAAAAGGAAAAAATTTATATAAAGTGAGGCCCTTAATAATCAAATTAAGACGCATTTAAAAATTTCACTAAAAGAGATTCTTTCGATGTTTAAAGACCGTTAAATCCATCTTCTCGACCTAGGGTCGTATAGATGTGAAAAAAAATGAATTTTGAGTCTAGGAAATAGTGCATCTTGTAATACATTATCTGGGCTGTCAATTTTCAATATATTCAAATGTTTATAAATTTGCCAATCTACACTAGTTTGAAGATTTGAGTTTTGTAGATAGAGATCCAAAATATATTTTCAGACCATCAAAAAGATTTTTGCTACTGAAAAATTATCTTTTGACTCGATTTAGAGGTACACCACTTGATTGTTTAGGGCCTTAATCTTATCCAAACCACACGCTTTATATAAGCAATGAATTATTAGTCATAATGAGTAGATCCCTAACATCTCATACGAAACATTAGTCAGTTTATTAAAGAGTAATTGTGTTATCAACAAAGTAATTAATAAAAATTCTTAGTCAGATTATTAAAGAGTAATTATGTTATCAACAAAGTAATTAATAAAAATTCAGTTAAAAATATATTTTCAATACCAAAAATCCTGCAAATCAATATTATCCACCTCGACAATCATGATCTAAATAAAAATAAAATAAGCCTTAAAACCAGTGCATCCTGTTGCCCTTATTTTATTACTATCCATTTTGAATCCTCACATATCTACCAGATCAATTACATTTTTATAAATTTAAATTTCTAAAGTTTGTCTGGTATTCGGAGCTTTACCAATTCCTCATCCTTTTGTTAATAGGACGGTGATTTAGGCTTTCAAGGAGAGTGTAGGAGTAGATTGTTCCAACTTAACACAATTGATCTTCCTATTATGGTGAGAAAACATTTGATTCTAAGCATTTATTCTCATATTTTTTGAATTTAAAAAATATTTTTTTGAGATCAGCTATGCAAGTACTATTCCGCCATCTACTCTATCAAAGCATAAGTTCAAGATTCATGAAAAGATGTGACAACGTTTTACGCTAGCTGCCCTACTTAACAAAACTCTCATCTTTTTATCCAGGCTTCGGACCAGCATGAGTGCGTTAATGCTTATGATTCATCTTTAGCCCAAAAGAATACCCAACTGGTTCATCTTTAGCCCAAAAGAACACCCAACTGGCCTACACTCAACCAAAACACCAATTCCCACAAGTACTCAATTATAACACAATATACATAGAATCTCATATGTGGACTACTATTCAGTGGACCAATCTAATACACATATAATGACCAAACACAAATAAACACAAATACTGATACCAAACCCATATGTAGGAATGAGCAACTGATGATCAATTGCAGGGTGTGAACCTACATGGTGTTTCAGGTGTGCCTGCATTTGCCCTCTTGAACCTCATGGCTTGCCTAAGCGCCTCCTGGGGAGAAGCCTGTAAGGCCCAATTCATGTTCCCAACCACTGTGAGCGTGGGGTACCCAAATTGCAGACTGTTGTAGGAGTTGAGGAGCGCGGTCGTTGCCTCTCTGAGCAGAGTCCTGTAGAGGTCCCCTCGGCCTTGGAGGGCTTCATATAGAGGCAAGTCGGTCCCGTACTTTTGAGCAGCTGCTGGGCCGAATGCCACAGCCACTTTGGTCCCAGGGCCCACCACCTTCCAGTAACACCGGTATTCCGGCATCAGCCAGTATCTGTGATAATCTCACCAAATTTCATTTTCAAGAATTTCCTCAAGGTTCCCAAACAGATTTTCTATTCTAGATACTTAAAAGAAAAACTCTATAAAATAGAAAATGAAGTATAGAACACTAGGAATTTTGCCTAAATTTTCATCCCATGTTTTGCAAATTACCTCGGTTAACGTACTCAGCCTTTGGCCAAGGCAAGTAACTCAGCCGAGTCTCAACTCGGCTGGCCAAGTTCCCTAATACTGCTTTCATCTATCAGACCTAACAGAGAACAGAAGGATATCTTACTCAGAAGAACAAGCAGAGGCTTGGAAAAAGGGCATAGGATGCATGGTAGGCGGTGAAGGCGGCGAAGGAAGCGAAGGTGGGGATGGGGTGTTAGACTTAGGGCAAAACGCCATTGGTTGGGAAGGTTGTGAAAGCAGTGAGTCGACAACATACATTTCCATACCGAACATGTCGAAGACTAGATTCAGGCCACGAGCAGGACCCCCGGTGATCCCGCAATTGGAACCCTGGGGATTAGCCACGACCTGTGCGAAGCACCGGCTCAAGTCCGGGGAGCCCTCGAATCGCATGCCATAGTTGCCAAACCAGTTGGTGCTCTCCTCCTTCCATACAGTGACCTGACCGTCATTTCCAGCGCAGGCTACAGCCACCTTTGCTCCTGCAACCAAATTCCCAATTTTTCTTTGTAATATTTTGCATCAACCAGCAAAGAAATAACTACTGAAATTTTATTTTACAAATTCCCAATTCCATCGAGATGATACATTAATTCTCTCCAGCAAAATACATAATTTGGGGAATTTTTTTTTTTTTAATTTGAATTTTTGGGATCTAAATGATTATTTTCAAATAAAAAAACTGAATTTTGAGTTATTCAATTCTTAAATCTTTCCTTCTGAAATTTAGACATTCTTTGTTCAGTTTTATGATAATAATTTTTCAAGCAAATGAAATATGCATTTGATTTTTTAAATTTTATTTTTATTTTTTATTTTTTTAAAGTTGGAGGGTGTATCCCAAAAGTCTGATGTTCTAAAAATAATTCTACTTTCAAATTTGCAAACAAATGAACATTATGCTCCTGCAGAAGCAGCATTTCTTTTGGCTAGAACAGACTCTCCTTGTTTCACATGATTTTATTATTTTTTATGTGCAAGTGCCTTTCCTTTTTAACACTCTGAAAAATGAAAAGGACCCAGTAGAAATGTAGGCCTCTTAATAAATCTATTATTTTAGGAGTTAATTTTTACATACATGTAATCTCTAACCCTGAGATCATGAATATGAATAAATAAATAAATTTTTAAAATTAAAAAAAATAATTTTAATAAGAAAACGTCTGAACCGTAAGTTTTTATTGTTTTTAGGAAAAATTAAGTAAATATCTATTTTAGTTTCCGTTATTACCAAAATACTTAATATTTTAGTTATTAGTTATATGTCTTTTTTTTTGGACGTAATAACAATTTAAAAAAAAAAAGATGAAATTATACATTTTCCGAAATCAGGCCAACTAAATCGAAACTATCAATTTTTATTTTTTCAAAAATTGAAATCAAACCAATTTCGATTATTAAAAAATGTTATAAAATCCAAAAAAACAGAAAAAATACTCCTTAAAAAATGCAAGAAATCCAACTAAACGACAAAGAGAGAGCTACCCATGAAAGCTGTAAGGAAATTCAAAGAAACAAGAGGAGAGAGAAAACCACCCCATGTATAGGCAATCAAATTCAAATAAAAATAAGATAGAGAAAACTACCCCCTGAGAACTGCAAGAAAATGCGTAGAAACAAAGAAAACTAATAGAACTAGAAGAATAAGAAAACCATCCCATGAAATTGAGTGAAGAGAGAGAAAACCATCTCAAGAAATTGAGTGAAGAGAGAGAAAATATCCCAAGAAACGAATAGAACCAAAATACAGAACTGTTTCGAAGAAACAAGAACTTATATCAATCTACCCCTAGACTCAATTAGAGGCAGAAAACAAAGAAACCACGAATTTGAGAAACCACAACAAACTATCCGAAGAAAACCTCCAAAGAAACATGGACAAAGAGAGAAACAATTCAAGAACCATTAAAAGACAAAGATGAGAGTTTATTAAAGAGAGACCTCAACAAGGCAAGGCGCAAGAGAACAGCAGGGACATTGGATCGGTTTCGAGTGAGCTCGCTAACAGTGTCGCGGATGATGAACTCAGCTGGAGGGCATGAATTCTTGTAGTAGTCATAGTTCAACAGAGATTCCTCTCTCATACTTTCTCTCTTGAAATTTGTGATTCTATGAGAGGCGGTTTTGTTGTTGAAGGTTTTCATAAGGGTTTGTATTTTTTGGTTTCGCAAAAACAGGAAAATAAAGAAATTCAATTTTTAAAAAATCAAAATTTGAAAAATCGAAAATAATAGGTAGTTTCTACTTTTTTTAAAAAAAAATGATAAGAAGTTCGAACATATAATTAATAAATTAAAATATTCGATACTTTGATAATAATAAAAACTAAAACAGATATTTAAATAATTCTCGCTTGTTTTTTATAGGGTACACCTACATGTATCTATATTAAGCATCCATCTTTAAGATAGACCCCTTACATTTTTTGAATTGATCGACCCCACATGAAACAAGTTTTCAAATAGAAAATGTAACTGATATGGGACATACATGAACATACATTTCTGACAAGGATAAATGGGTTGACGATTTCGTGGGACTTTCAAATTTGAGGTATGCAAACAAGCAAAGGGGAGAGAGCGCTTAGGAGAATGGCTTGGGGCCTTGGACGTAGTATTTGCTGAGTCTGGTGGTTAGGTCCCCCACTTCATTTCCATGGAAAGGTAGGGCTCAATTCTTAAAAAAGGGGCTGGGTCGTGGGAGTAGAATCCCCTCGTTCGTCGGTTACCACATAGTGATATCTATTCCTACTGTAGATGTTCTTAATTAATAATTTCAAAATATAACTCTTCAATCTATTAAAAAAACGGATAGGGATAAAGGCCCGGTCTTTCCCACTAAATAACCCAAAAAACAAGAGAGTGCTTAAAAGTAAATAAAATAAAGAGAGATATGGACAGTGTTTCTATACTCGGTCCGGGTGACTCAGAACCGCCGGAGTTACGAAGCGTCGGCCTTCGAGCAAGGCCCAGTACTATGCATTTAACAGCATTCAACGTACATCGCGTGAGAACATTAACAAGTATTTTACTTTATAAAATACCTTATTTTTGTTATTTCCTTTTTTGAAGCTGCCATGGCCGAGTTACTTGGACTCGGTCTAAGTAACTGGCTTCGGCCAACCGAATACCTAGTCCGAGTCGCTTTTTTTGAGCATTTGATATGGCTAAGTGCAGTGAGCAGTGATATTCCAAAGTATATAGCAAAGAGAGGAGAGAAATGGCTGAGGAAGGTGAGAAAAAACAGTGTGCGTTTACCAGAGAGCGGATAGTCGAAGGAGCTCCTCTGTCCGTCTTTGCACGCATCACAGAAGACAGTGCCTGAAACCATAGTGTCTGCTGCCGCCTCTTCCACCATTGCACCAACCACCACCACGACCCCCACCACTAACCACAGTCTATACATTCTCATTGAGTTTAGAGAGAGAAATTGCAGGTCACCTGGTGTTGCTTCAACAACTGAATAATTTTAGAGAGAGAAAATGCAAGGAATGCCCTCCTCTTAGTACAACAACTGATGCGTCTATATAGACAGTGCAGGGACTCCACTGTTGTTACTGAAAGAGTTTAGAGAGAGAAAATGGCTCTCAAGTCTGAACTTCAAATGGGGAAAAGGTGAAATTGGGGCGCTGGCAGGCAGGGTTGTTGGTTGCTGGACGCTGCGGTATTTATGAGTTAAGAGTGAAAGAAAAGCGGCACCCTTCCATTCCAACGGGAAATTTTGCAGGTACAGGGAGTGGATTCATTGATGGCAACCTAGAGAGAGAAAGAGTGGGGAAAAGATGACCCCAGTGCCCCTAACCGCCTCTGTCCTGAAATTTCTTTTGTACTTTTAAGCTTGATAAGTGAATTAAGTGCAGCCACCTAATTTTACGTCGGAGTAAATAATCTCATTATATGGTTTCACTATAAAATTATAGGGTTTTGCACCTTGAAATTGATTTAAGGTAGCATTAAATAGGGCAGGCAATGGGCGGGGACCGGCCCTAAAAAGAATAGGGCATGAGCTACAAATTGTCGCCTGAGGGCCTGGCTAGGGCTAGGGCTAGGGCTAGGGCTAGTGCTAGTGCTAGCCTAGTTCAACCTGACCCTCTCTTGTTCTTACTTTTTATTCTTCCTCATTTGGGCTTTGGCCAGCCCCATGGGACAAGGGCAGGCCTCCAAGCCCATTGCCACCCTTAGTAGTATGTGCCCAAAATTTTGGTTAGAATTGGCTCTTCATTTTGTGAAAATTGCCACTAAAATAGCCTTTTTTTGTAAAGATTAAGATTGTATTCCCACTCAAAACCATCAAATATTTTAAACCATTTTTTCCCCAAAACACCACACAAGTCCTTTGTTTGTGAAAAGATTATGAATGATTAAATTTGGATCGATCGTGCATGTTGTTCCCTTGTGAAAAGATTATGAATGATTAAATTTTGATCGATCGTGGATGTTGTTCGCATATGACATAATTTTACTGATAAGAACCAAAACAGCGTCAACACAAAGATACAAACTTTGGAGAGACATTCTAAAATCTAAAAATTTTAAAATTAACCTAAGTCATAATATATAGAATGTCAGTTTAATAATAATAATAGTAGAATGATGAAGTAGTTAAGATTGAAGACCAAAAACTACAAAAAAAAAAAAACATTATAGATATTATCCTTAATAGAACATAGTGATGTACCACGTATAGCTAATCCTAATTAATTTTAATTTTTTATTTTCAATATCAAACTTCTTTATCTTATGTATGTACTCTTTTATAATAATAATAATAATAATAATAATAATAATAAAACGAAATGGTTCGGATGAGCACATTAACGGCTACTTCACCCACCCTTTTATTTAGTAATAATTATTAGAAAGGGAGTGAGTCCTTTTTGGGGAGATTTACCATATTTTGGGATGGTATTTGGCGGTGGGTATTCAATGAGGATGAGCTGTGCTTTCAAATTTGACCCCAGTACCTGAACCTTATTGGTTTATTATGATTTTGTTAACAAAGAACAATGACTCGAGGTTTCCTGGCATTCGTCCGTGTCATGGACTTGGGAAGCAAAGTGCTGAATGAATGAAAGAGGACCTCTCTCTCTCTCTCTCTCTCTCTATCTCTCTCTAGATGAATGAATGAATGAAGACGACCCCCTCCTCTCTCTCTCTCTCTCTCTTCAATAGTAGATCGAGGTCTCTTTTTCACCAACTTCCCGTGTGTATCCCACCTTTATTGATTCTTCCTGTGCAGTAGGAATATCATGGATGTTGTCCCTTTAGATGCTTGTTTGGATCCTACTTTAACTCACTGTAATATTTTTCTATATGGGCACCTTTTGTGTCTTTTTATTATCATTTGATGTTGATTTTTTAGGAAAATTACGAGGAGCACCCTCTCAGCTCACTTGTTAGGCAATAACAACACCGCTCTTTAAATGCATTGCCGTTAAATTCTCTTTAAATAAAGGGATGTATTCTTAGGGGAGCATAATATAAGTTTACTCTCTAGTAAAAAAGACCTACTTGGGAAACTTTTTTAATTTAAAATTGTCGAAACCACTTAAAAATCACTAGATGATGTTTTTCAAAAGTTAAAATTTGAAATTTGAGTTTTCGAATACCTATATCTCATTCTCTAAAAACTGGACGGTCTCCATTCAATCTTGAGACAAAATTTTTTTTTTTCAAGTGTGTAGAGGGGCACAATTGGAAAAGTATTTAATCTATGGGTTGAAGAGGTTATTTTCCAAAATTTGGGTTCCTTAAATTAATCCTAAGTGTGGTTTTACTTGGAGTACATAAATAAAATACTGCCAAAGGAGTATAGTATTTTTTATAGAGTAATGATCATATGAGACCCTCTCACACCCATATGTGTAGGACCCCAAAGGATCACCATTAAATTTGACACAAATCTTTAAAAAAGTTAAGTATCACACCCATATAAAAACTTTTCTAATGATCTGTACTAAATTTAATGGTGATCCTTTATAGTCCTACACACATGGGTGAGAGAAAGTCTCATAGGATCATTACTCTTTGTTAAAAGATTGTGCATGGTGTTTAAAAGGAAAGAAACCATGTTGCAATAATACCAAGGAAAGGATTCTATGCTTCTCCTATAGCATAGAAGTTTTATCCTCCCCCTATCTTCAGCCATCCAATTTTGATCAAGAGCGTCACTTACCGTTTGATCTTAGATCCGCCGTCTCAAAGTATTTTATTTTTAGTTTTTTTTTATAAAAATTATATGAATATAAAATTTGGTACGTGTCATCTTCTCATTGGGGATCACGTATAAAAAATATTAAAAATATTTTTTTGATAAAATATAATGACCAAAATACCCCTTAAAATTTTTAGGGGTATTTTGGGTATTTTATTTTATTAAAAATATTTTTTTTATATTTTTTGCTAGTGAAATTTTAATAATAAAATGGATGTCCAAAATTTAGTGTCAAAATAATTTATATAAAAAAAATTAAAAATAAAATAATACAGAGACATGATATTATTATTGGAACAATCTTAACCCTCCACACGATTGGATAAGGGGGAGGATAGAACTTCTCCGCTGGAATGAAAGCATAAACATCTTGCCCATAATACGAAAGGGTCCCTTCATAAACGAAGTGCTAAAGACAAAAGTCGTCAAAGGGTTGTTTTTTCTAAAACACTGAAGGGATTTATACTCCCTCTGGAGTATTCTGTTCATTTACTCTCCCATCTACACCCATATAGGATTAACCTCTTCAACCCATAGATTAACCTCAATGAAAAATAACTTAGTTGCACCCTCTACACATTTGAAAAATCAATGTCTCTAGATTGAATAGAGACCATCCATGTTTTAGAAGGTGAGATCTAAGTGTTAGAAATTTCCAATTGTTTACTTTTGAAATAATTATCTAATGATAATGATAGTTAGGTGGTTCCAAAAATTTTAAATTGCAAAAATTTTACTGAAGGAGTAAACTTATCTTATACTCCCGCAGGAGTACGTCCCCTTTTTTGTTTAACCACAATGTATTTAAGGAGTGTGTGGGATTTATCACATGTCTGGTATTGTCGTTGCGAGACGGGATGGCAAATTAGAAAGAAAAAAAATGTGGGGAGGGGTTAATTTTCGGGAAAAATAACATCAAATAGTAATAAAAAGACAGCGTGTTCGTACATAAAAAGCTTAATATTCGAGAGGTTATAATGATTGGCCACCCTTGTTTTTTAGTAAGAACCACATGGAAGTCGTTGGAGGCCCATGACAACCGCCAAAATTACCAATCAATTTTAGTTGCCCAAATAGAAACATGCCTAACTCCCTTCCTGTTTGTGTGCGACAGTTGAAAGTTTTCGAATTTCGGAAATTCGAGTTTTGAATTTAAAATTTTGTATTTTTAGGTCGTTAGCTAACATTGTGCTCTTTTTATTTTGGGTTGGCTAAATTTCTACAAATCAAGAGGTTACAACTTCTTGTGTCTTCTACAACTACTCCCACAAATGCGTAATGAATGACAATTCTAATTTCTCCAAAATTTGACATGGCCTTTTTAGTCCCACACCTTTGCAAGCTTAAGAGATCCCCTGCCCCTACACTTTCCCCCTCTTGTTATCTTCTTCAAAATTTATGTGTGTCATGATTGTTATTAACAATCCATAAAGATTTACTACTGCTCAATCTCCTTATTTTTCATATCACTCTGACAGTCCAGGGATTGTTCTTGTTTATCATTCCCTCATTGGGGAGATTTATTCTATTTGGTCCCACACTATACGCATGTCCTTAAGTGCCAAAAACAAGTTGGCCTTTGTTTATGGAACTCTACCTAAACCAGAGCCTTCTTCTCCTTCCCTTACCTTATGGGAGATATGTAATGACTTGATTTTGTCATGGTTTCTTAATACCTTATCCAAGTTCTTCGCAAAGAGTGTTGTTTTTATTTCTACGGCCCACAAAGTGCGGGCTGATTTGTGAGGCTTTTTCATCAAGCAACGCCCCATAACTTCATCAAATCAATAAAGTTTTAGCTACATTCCAACAAGAGTAGCTCTAAGTTGGTTCTTACTTCACACAACTAAAAACAGGATGACTTACTCTCTCTCTCTTCATTTACCCCATGTTTTTGTGGGGCTCTTAGAAATCTCAGTAGTTATATTCAACGAGAACAGCTCCTTTAATTTTTTATAGGGCTTAATGAATCTAGTAGACAGTAACATTCTACACTTGGATCCAATGGTTTAAAAAACGGATCGGTGATCCGGATCGGGCTTTCAAAAAACCGATCCGGATAGGCGAATCGGCGATCCGGATCGGGAATCGGGTGAATCGGTCAGAATAAAGCTTCAAAAAAATCCGAAAAAATTATTAAAATTCATTATAAATATTGTTTTTTAGGAATTCAATAAGAAATGAGGGTACTCCATTAAGAATTTTCATGTTTTTGAATGAATATGCGAATATTGATATGTTCTTTCCCTGCATGAACCGTCATTCAACATTTAATTTACATCACACAAAAGGATAAACATAGAATTATCATGGAG